TTATAAAATGGAGTACTACTCAGCCATAAAAAATGAGAAATTAGAGACATTTATAGCTAAGTGGTTGCACATTCAGGCTATGCAAGCACAAGGACCCGAGTTCGATCCCCAGTACAAAAAAAAAAAAAAAAAAAAATGAGGTTTGTCCAGCAACTTGCACAGGGTCTGGCACACAGCAGGCCCTCCACCCTGTAACCCCCAGCCCCTCACCTCGGGCAGCCTGGGCTTGGGCAGATGCTGGGCCCAGCTCACCGTCAGCAGTGCCTCCGTCCCACCTCCTGCATTTACCCTGGGACCTGTCTGTCTTTCCAAGAACAGCACCAGCCTCTCGCCACCCACCAAGCCAGGACCCCATGAACTCCACTGCTTTGCCAAGACTTAGTGCTAATTAAGTGAACTAGGTAAGCATTAAATTAAACTAGCAGTATTGCTGTTTCCCCTCCAGACTGAATAATTACTCATAATGAGCTTGGGTAATAAGTCTCTAAATAACAGAGTTAACTATAATTAGGCTGAAAACAGAAAGGGAGGGAAGAGGAGAGGAGGAGAGGGCGGGGGAGGGGGAAGAGAAGGAGGGAGAGGGAGGAAGTGTTGGGGAGAAGACAGAGAGATCTCAAGGACAAATTCACATTGTTGGCAGGGAGACTCCAAGTCCACGTTGGGCTAGTGGCACCTCAGACCACTGTTAAACTCTGTATTCACAGATACAGACGCTGAGGCTCAGAGAGGGGCAGAAGTTCACCCAAGGTCACACAGCGGACAGTGATCAAGGAGGCTGAGAGTAATGTGGACCGACCCAGGCTTCATGCCCCCAGCTGAGGCCAGAGTTTCTGAAGTCAATGGAATAAGGTGAGGCCTTTGGGTAGGGAGGATTCCTGTCAGGAGAGGCAAGTGAGCCAGGCGTGCTGGTTCGTGCTTTTAATCCCAGCACTCTGGGAGGCTGAGGCAGGAGGAATGCCAAGTTTGAGCCCAGCCTGGGCAACTTATCAACTGAGGGAGACTCTGTATCAAAACAAAAAATCCTTTTGAACAAGGCCTGGGACGTAGCCGAGTGAAGGCCCTGGATTCAGTCCTGTCACTGGCCCATTCCCCTGCAATGAGAGCTAAGTGGCTAAGAGCTTTGACTCGAGTCTCCCACCGAGTAGCCGTGGCCTTGTGGTAAGTCCATCCCGTCCCTGAGCTCAGCTTCCCTGTGGGGAGGTCACCCACCCCTCCCTGGGCCTCATCTTGCCCCAGTGTCACATGGCTCGGTGAGACTGTCCTCTCCTCCGTCCGAAGGGAGTTCAGGGATGAAGGTTAAACCCACACCACGGCGTCAAAGTCTGCGCGCTTCTCGGCCCGGCTCAGTCGGACCTCAGGCCTCTTCTGTGCACCTTCACCCCGACCCTGGGGGTCATCTCCCCGGGCTGCCGGAAGTGGGGTGGCCAGCTGTCCTTCCAGCTCATTCCGAAGCCTTGGGCGAGGAGTGCACAGGCTTGCTGAGGTCTGGCCTGAGGGTCCTTCCCTGAGTAACCTCCACGCACCCTCACTTTCCCAGCTGGAACACACAGCTAGGGACAGTTCTACTTTTCGGGGCTCCAAGGAGGATTCTGAGAACTACCGTGTGCAAGGGGCTGATGCTCAGTGAATGCCTGAGTGCCAGCTGCGAGGAGGGCCACCAGCACCAGGAGCTGTGTTCTGTGACCTCTAAACCATGTGAACAGATGAACCAGACTGTTCCGGATGGCTGTAACAGCACAAAGAAATAAAAGTGGGTGATGAGGGTCACTGCAGTAGTCTCTCTGCAATGTCAGCTGAGACCCCAGCGCTGCTGCCATTTGCAGCTGGGTCACCGTCACAGGAGCTGCTCTGGGCATTCAGTATATTCAGCAGCATTCCCGATCTTCATCCAGTCCCCAGAACTGGGAAAAAGCAAAACAAAGCCTCCCCGCCAGATGCCAGTAGCATCTTTCCTCGGCTACAGCTGCTGAATGTATCCAGACATTGCCAAGTGTTCTCTGGGGGCAATGTGAGGCTGAAAAGGTGAGGAGCCAGGGCCCCAGGAGCTGAGGGGCAAGTGGAGTCCCCGAGAGGGCCAGGAGCTCAGGGAGACAGAATGTAAACCTCAAAGCGGGTGGAGGCTGGAAGCCAGCCTCTAACCCCAGAGTGGCAATCTTAGTCTGCAAAGAAGTAGGTTCTGCCTAGGAAAGGGGTCGGGATGCCCCAACCCTACACACCGCTCAGGAGACACACTGTACTGTCAAGTACCAGAGGAGAATTAAGGCCTAATTGGCCACCTCTGTGAGCACAAGGCTGAACTAGGGGTGACTGTCTATTAGGTAACTCAGTATTTTTTTTTGGTACTGGGGATTGAACTCAGGACCTTGCGCTTGTGAGGCAGGCACTGGAACCACTAAGCTAAATCCCCAGCCCGGTGATTGCCTATTAGGAAAAAGACAGCTGAGGTTAAGTTGTTTACCAGAGAATGTACGAATGGATATGGGAAAGCAGATGAATCTTGTTACTTTAATTGCTTGTGCCTGAGTTTGGGTGAATATAAGCGAGGTGAGCCAAAGGCTTGGGCTCCTCTGCCTGTTAGAGGAAAGAGCCCCCTGGCTACCCGAAAGTTGAGCTGACTCTGCCTCTGTCATTCATCCTCTTACACCCCAGGTCAGGGAGGAACAAAGTAGTGAGTCTAGGTCCCAGAGCAAGGTGGGCTGGGTGAGTCTGCTACAGCGAGGGCTCAGGGCCCAGGCCCGGCTACATTGTACAGCAGGAAGAAACAATGCGAAGAACAAATCCGAGATGGAGAATTGGGTGGTTCAGAGATTCAGGTTGGGATGCTGGTTCCTTACTCTCTCCTTCAAGCACAGGAAGCAGGCCATGCATATGTAGTCTTTTCTTTTTTTTTTTTTTGGTACCGGGGATCGAACTCGGGACCTTGTGCTTTCGAGCGGAACCACTGAGCTAAATCCCCGGCCCTATGTAGTCTTTCTTTTGATCTTCAAAGAAATCCTGCCCCTGAGTCACTGGGAAGCTGGCTAAGAATGCAGATTTCAGGGTCCTTACCCTCTTAAAGAGGGTCCTACGCCCTCCTGCAGCTTGCTTAGTTTTTAAACCCTCTAAATTCAACCAGATGTCAGCCCTGGAAGGGACTTTAAGGCCACCTCTGAATTTAAAAAAGTTTTCCTAGTCAATTCCCACCCGACCCCTCCAGCATGCAAACTGAGATCTTGCAAGCCTCAGCATGTGTGGAAGGGATGTAAATGGACCCTTTGGACTGGAGAAAGGGTTTGGGGGCCCCAGGGGCTCAGCTTCCCCCTGGAGCTCACAGCCGGCCATCAGTTCAACCATCTCCATGGTAACAGAGGGACTGGGAGTGCAGAGGGAAGGACTTGCTGGGTGAAGTGGATGCTCTTTTTTTTTTTTTTTTTGCAGTACCAGGGATCGAACTCGAGACCTTGCGCTTCTGAGGCAGGCATGGTGCCACTGAGCTAAATCCCCAGCCCTGAAGTGGATGCTCTTAGTGAACCCTCCAAACCTAGATTCCCCTTCTGGCCTTGTGCACAGTGGAAGGGGCATGCTATCCCAAAGTACCCTCCTGGGTCTGGGATGCAGCATCATGGCTGGCACATTTCCCACCCTGCGCAAATGCCTCTCATGCCTGAAGGACAGCAGCTTGGGGTGGTTCTTCTCATGGATGCCAGGTAGGCAGAGGGCAGGACACAGACTCCAGAGAAGAGTAGACTCTGATTTCTCCACCAGAAGCTATATCCCATCAACTCTGCCTTACACCATTCCCCCCAGTACCAGGGACTGAACCGAGGGCCTTTGCACTGAGCTACATCTCCATTGCTTTTTATTTTTAAATTTTGAGACCAGGTCACAAAGTCACTAAGTTGCCCAGCTGAATTTTTTCTTTTTTTTTGGTACCGGGGATCGAACTCGGGTCCTTGCGCCTGCAAGGCAAGTGGCAGAACCACTGAGCTAAATCCCCGGCAAAATTTTTTGTTCTTAATTCTTATTGGTTTAGATGGCAAGGGTTTGTTTTGTTTCAGTTTTGCTTTTGGGGTACTAGGTTTTTTTTTTTTTTTTGTACCAGGGATCGAACTTGGGACCTTGCACTTGCGAGGCAGGCAGCAGAACCACTGAGCTAAATTCCCGGCATTTTGGGCGTACTAGGGATGGAAGCCAGGCAAGTTCTTTTTTTTGTTTTTTTGGTACACAGGGATCGAACTCGGGTCCTTCTGCTTGCGAGGCAGGTGGTGGAACCACTGAGCTACATCCCCAGCCCAAAGATACAAGAAGCTGTTTTTTTCAGATGCAATTAACACTCACAATCAGGGGACTTTAAGAAAAGCAGATTATCAGGCTCACCGGGTGTGGCGCGCTCTAGGGCGGTGGGCTTGCAGCTCTCTGGAGACACAGCAGCAAAGGGGTCAAGCAGTGCGCCCTGCAGTGCAAGCACAGCATCGTCCAGGTCTTAAGTTTTTTTAAGGAACACTTGAGTGCTGTTTAGGACCAGGTAGGGACCAGCCAGAGAGGATGGCAGTGAAGCCAGGACATTGTGGTCAAGACCAGTGACAATACATGCTTAAGTGAGCAGGGCAGGACTTCTTTCCCTGCTTTCTCCACCTAAGTACAACTAAATATCTGCAAGTAACAGCCAATGAAGAAAGGACCTGAGAGCTGGAACTAAGACACACTGGCTAAAGACCCAGGACTAGAGGATGACCATGCCAGGAGTCCCTGGGTTTTCTTTTTCTCTTCTATGTACCAGTATTGTGAACCAGGGACCAGAGAGCCAGCAGACATAGACAAATCTTCAAGGAAAAAGTCCTTTCTGAATGGGAAAGGAGATGCCAACCAGAGGCCTAGTGGGGAGCTCCAAACTTACTTTACAGTCTGCCCCAGGACAGCCAAAAACTAACCCTGCTCTCTACCACACAGGGTGTGTCCAGGGCCTGAGACCACCTGGCCCTCCACTGTGGCACATGGAGACCCACACACCCAGTAACCCCAGGCATCCAGGAAACACTTCCAACCCTACAGGTGACGCCTACAGGGATGAACACCCTTCCTCTTCCCATCGCCAGAGGATAAAGCAGACCAGGAGGGTAGTGCAAGGGTCCTGAAGACAAAACCCACACTGGAACAACATGCCACAAAAGTAGGCCAGGGTCTACACACTATACCCTGCCAGTATAGAGGAATTAAATGGAACCAGGTATCCAGGGTACATTTGAAAATCATTTGTCATACCAAGAACCAGGAAGACCATGATGTGAAGGATTTTTTTTTTTTTGGTACTGGGGATTGAACTCAGGATCTTGCGCTTTTGAGACAGTTGGTGGCACCACTGAGCTAAATCCCCAGCCCATGAAGGATGTGAATTAAAGCACTCATTAAAAAATGCTTTAGGGGCCAGGGATTTAGCTCAGTGGTTCCTCCACCTGCCTTTCAAGCGGAAGGATCTGAGTTCGATCCCTGGTACCAAAAGAAAAAAAAAAAAGCTTTAAAGGGCCAGGGATTTAGCTCAGTGGCACCATACCTGGCTTGCAAGTGCAAGATCCTGAGTTTGATCCCCAGTACCACACACACACACACACACACACACACAAATGCTTTAAAATAGAATTACCCATAAAAAGTAATATACATTCTTTGGAAACAAGTAAAAAATGGAAAAATTTAGCAAAGAAATGGAAGTTATAAACAGCCAAATGGAAACCATAGAATTTGAAAAAATATAATAACCAAGATATTATGTCTATCATTGGAAGCACAGTGGAGATGATACAGCAACAGAATTTACTGTCTGAGCCACTGAGAGGAAGAAAAAGGGTGCGGGGTGGGGGGCGGAGATGAACTGAGTCTTTGAGGTCTGTAGGATAACAATTCATACACCAGCATCCCAGAACAAGGAGAGAGAGTGTGTGGAACTAAAATGGATTTGAAGAACGGCTGAAGTCTCCCAAATTTGGTGAAAGACATAAATATACAAGTTCAAGAAGCTGAGCAAGCCCTCAAAGGATAAGCTCTCCAAAACTCCATACCTGGTCTTGTCATATTAAACTTGAAAACTAAAGAGAGAGGAAAAAGTATTATCAGCCAATGTGAAATGATGCATTGCCTGTAGAGGGGCAGCCTTTGATTGACAGTAACTGTCTAATTCAGAGTCACGAAGGCCAGAAAAGAGGGGTCTTACATTTTCAAGTGTGCAAAACATCACCTGTGAATTCTGTCCAGTAAGATGTTCTTCAGGGGGCCCAGGATTTAGCTCAGTGGTTCCACCGCCTGCCTTGAAAGTGCAAAGTCCTGAGTTCGATCCCCGGTACCAAAGGAAAAAAAAAAAGGATGTAAAGATGTTCTTCAGGGGTGAAGAATGAAAAATGTTTTCAGGGCTGGGGATTTAGCTCAGTGGTTCCACCGCCTGCTGTGCAAGCGCAAGGACCTGAGTTTGATCCCTGGTACCAGAAAAAAAAAAAATGTTTTCAGAAAAAGCCGAACCAGCAGGACTTGTTGCTGGCAGACCTACTGTGAGGAGTGCCTAAAGGAATCTCCCTAAATAGAAAAACTGTACCAGGAGAAAGCTGGGTCTTTCAGATGCCAAGGAGGTATGGCAGGAAGGATGGAGGCACACATCAATATAAGTCACCCTCTGCTTCAGCTTGGTAAAGCTGAGTGTCTTCCATGCCTCAGGTGTTGAACTGTAATCCCTGCTGTGAAGTTTCAAGAGGGTGGAAATTTAGCCAGACACGATGGTGCACACCTGTAATCCCAGGTGAGAACCAAGCGATGGAGGAAGGAGGAAAGACGGGGAAGGAAAGGGGAATAAAAAGACCAAGATATATTAAGTTCATGTACCTACAAAGATGAATGTAAACATTATGTACTGGATAAATACATTTTAAAATATCCTACAGTAAGGCATGAGAGGGAACACACAAAATAGTAACCAAATGGCTGGCCTCAGCCCTCATATGCCAGCGACATAGATGTGAATGTTCCAAACAGGATGTTGGAAGGCAGAGATTGCCAGAATGGATAAAAACCCACAAAGACGCTGTCTCTTCTTCCATGCCTCAGACATAGTGATGTAGATTTAAAGTATGGGATGGGAAAGGTGTGTCCTGCAAACATTAATTTTTTTTTTTTTTGGTACCAGGGATCCAACTCGGGTCCTTGTGCTTACAAGGCAAGCGATGGAACCACTGAGCTAAATCCCTGGCCCAGCATTAACTTTTTAAAAACCAAGAGGGCGGAGGATGTAGCTCAGTAGAAGAACAATTGGCAGGGCCAGGGATTTAGCTCAGTGGTTTGGCCACCTGCTGTACAAGCTCAAGGACCTGAGTTCGATCCCTGGTACCAAAAAAAAAAGAGCAATTGCCTGAGAGGGATAAGCCCAGGGTTTAATCTCCAATACTGGAAAAAATAAAAATAACAGGAGTGGCTGTCTGTGCTAGAGCAAAGGAAACTTCCGAGGACAAAGGGACATTATGATGATAAATGATCAATCCACCAGGAAGATATGGCAATCTCAAGTGTATATCTACCCAACAGTCTTCTCAGCACAGGAAGTAAAACCTAGGGGCAGAGAGGAGTCTACTGTGACCATCAAGGACCTCCGTACCCCACGCTTAGGAATCACTAGAATGACTGGACAGATGCTACCTTCTGCCAGCAGTAACATGTCAAGAGATGTAAAACTGTCAAACATGAAGAAATTCAGACTGTCAGAAAACAAATGGAATGACTTCCCATAAACAAGAATCTGAGTTGTGTTAGCTTTCTGTCTCTATGACAAAATACCTGAGAAAAATAATTTAAAGGAAGAAAGCCTTTGGTTCAAGGTTTCAGACCACAGCTGGCTCTACTGTTTTTAGACCTGAGGTGAGGCAAAAAATAGTAATGGTAGAAGGAAGGGTGTGGTAGAGAAAGGCTGCTCACCTCAAAGGAGACAAGAAGCAGAGAAAAAGAGTATGTGCTGGCCAGCTCTGGCCCTTGTGTGTGTGTGAGCGTGTGAATGCACGTGTGAGGTAGTGAGGATTGGACCTAGGGTCTTCCCATTGACCTACATCCAGGCCCTTTTATTTATTTTTATTTTTTTTGGTACCGGGGATTGAACTCGGGACCTTGTGCTTGTGAGGCAGGCGCTGGAACCAGTGAGTTAAATCCCTGCCTGCCCTTTTATTTTTAGACAAAGCCTAAATTTTTTTGTACTAGGGATCGAACTCAGGACCTTGTGCTTTCGAGGCAGACAGCGCACCACTGAGCTAAATCCCTGGGCCAGACAAGGCCTAATTACCCAGGCTGGTCTTGAATTTGCAACCCTCTTGCCTCAGCCTCCCAGAGAGCTGAGATTATAGGCATGTGCCACCATACCTGGTTCTCCTGCCTTTGTTCCATCTGAACCTTCTCCCTACTGGACAGTGCTGTGACATTTAGGGGTCTGTGTGCCAGCTGTCTCTGGAAATACCTGCTGAGACACACTTAGCATGTCCAGAACCAGAAGTGGACTTATTTCCTACAATTTTTCAATCTAAAGTTGACAATCAAGACTATCACAAAATTGATGTTTTTTTAAGTCTTGTAACATTTTTATTGAGTTTTAATTGCCCACCTACAGTAAAAAATGACAATTTTTTTTTCCAAAGCAAATATATAAAAAGTTAAATCTAAATGCACCAACGAGAGGACTAATAAAGGTAGGAACAGAAATGCATGAGGCAGAAAAAACAAGATAAAGAATATGCAAAGAGCCAAGGGTGTGTTCAAAAGGAAAACAAAATTGGCAAATCTGTCAAGACTGACAAAGTAAAAAAATTTGCACAAAACACCAATATAAAATTGTGAAGGGAGTCATCACTACAAGTCTAAGTGTATTAAAAAGTTAACAAAAAAGGGCCGGGGATTTAGCTCAGTGGTTCCACCGCCTGCCTTGCAAGTGCAAGGACCTGAGTTCGATCCCCAGTACCAAAAAAAAAAAAAAGGAAAGAAGGGAAAGGAAAAAAATACGAGAAAAGGAAAAAAAATGGAAACAAAGTCTTTGGAAATAGGGAAGGGTGGAGGGAGTGAAGGGAGGGCAAGGGAATGGGGAAAAAACATAAGAACCAAGATATATCATGTAAAGGTACAAGTTCCCAGTGATGAATGTAACTGCACTGTATACCTAAAATGTACCAATAAACTTGATGAAAAGAAAAAAAAAAAAAAAAAGAAAAGCAGATTATCACTTGGGCATGGTGGTGCATACCTGTGGTCCGAGCATTCTGAGAGGCTGGAGAAGGATCGAAAATTTGAGCTCAGCCTGGGCAATTTAGTGATTTAGCGAGACCTTTTCTCATTAATAAAAGATAAAGAAAGGCCTGAGGATCTACTCAGTATGAGGGCCCTGGGTTCAATCCCTGTTAACGTGTACACACACACACACACACACACTCACACTCTCTCGCACGCACACGCATGCATGCACAGAGGAAATCTGATTATCCTACATAATGTGGCAGGGCCCTATTCAAAGAGCTTTCTGAGCAAAGATTTAAAAAGCTTCCTGGGGGGCCGGGGATTTAGCTCAGTGGTTTTGCCGCCTGCTTCGAAAGCGCAAGGACCTGAGTTTGATCCCTGGAACCAACCAACCAAATAAATAAATAAATAAAAAGCTTCCTGGAAAAGGAATTTTGCCTCAAAACTATAGTATAAAAATCATTCCTAGGTTGGAGATTTAGCTCAGTGGTTCCACTGCCTGCCTCACAAGTGCAAAGTCTTGAGTTCGATCCCCAGTACCAAAAAAAAAAAAAAAATCACTCCTGACTTCCTGATTTTTTGGGCACTCCTACAAATTTCAGACTCAAATGCAATACCAATACTTACTTCAATATTTATTTACTTTTTTTTTTGTGAAAGGGTTTCACTGTGTAGCCCAGGCAGGCCTTGAACTCCCAGCTATCCTCCTGCCTCAGCCTCCCGAGTGCTGGGATTACAGACATGTGCCACCATGCCTGGTCTTACCTGAATGGCAGCCTGCTGGCATGCTGCCCTGTAGATTTTCACTTGACCCTGATCCCCTCGAGCGAGCCAGTTCCTTAGAGTAAATCTCTCCCTACCCTACCAGTTTGTCTGCCTTGGCAGCCTGACAGCAGCACTGGAGAGTGGGTGATGTCAAGCCTTAGTCTGCCCCTGGTGTCTGTGTCCTAGGAGGCAGGATGGGGCTCCAAAGAAGCCAGTCTTTTTTTTTTTTTGGACCAGGGATCGAACTCGGGACCTAGTGCTTGCTTGGCAGGCACTGGAACCACTGAACTAAATCCCCAGCCCAAAAGAAGCCAGTCTTGCTGCTGTGAACCCCAACACCTCCCATCCTGGGGAGACTCCCAGGACTGGCTGGAGAAGGGAAGGGGAGGCCCAGGAAGAAAGCACAGAGACTAACAGCAGGTGACATGTTTATTGCAGTTGCGTATTTCTGGGAGCTGGTGTGACTGAGGGAGCCCGTCACAAGCCCCCAGCCCCAGAAGACAGATACAATAACTTGGAATCCAAACAAGTTGCACATAAATAGAAAGAGGTCAGCAAAGGAAAAAGAAAAACAACAAACGAACTGTGCACTTTCCTATGCTAGAGTGGCAAAGCTGCAGCGCATTATCCACATCTGGTCTCTTACCGCTTGCACGCTGAGATTCTCATCTGTGTAAAAAGCTTCACCATCTTCAAATCCTTCCTGGTGGCCCCCCGCTGCTGTCTCCTAGACTGGCAAATGAGTCTAGAAAACCAAGATGGCTTCTTCTTAAAAAAACAAACAACAAACAACAAAAACTGCTTCTGTGGTCCTCTGCACCTCCCAGTTCCGACGGGCGAACAATGTGTGTCCCCTGACAACAAACCAACCCAAAACATGCTGAGACCAAGCTACAAGTCAGAATAGAAGCATATTGCACATGGTTACAAGAGTCTTCCTGAGATCCCTTCTGCAGCAGATCCCCGAATACTGGCTTTCCATCCACCACCCCCTTGCCTGCCAGTGGTGGCAGTGCAGTGTCACACACCATGCATGCACAACCGCTATCCAGATCCAAGCGGCGGTAGGCAAACCTCCCACACTGGCCCAGCTAAAAGCCTCGGCTGGGTTAACCCCACGTACTGTACGCACGTGGTGGAGGGAGGTGGGATTGTCTCACCCTTGGTCAAGCCTTTGTCTTTAACACCAGTTCCCTCCCGAGTGGTTTAGCGAAGTCCTACAGATGAAGACAGCATCCAAGTGGTGGAATCTTCTGGAACGGAGAGCCCCTCAACCCTCTGCTTCTGAAAATGAAGCTCTGTTGTTCCCCTCGGGTCCCTCACAAGCTGAGGTAAAACAGCCTCACCTGGGATGGGCAGTGTGGGAATTACAATTTTGTTTTTATGTTAAGGAATTTTCAAGTATCACAAAATCCCTGACGCAGTATGTAAACAAGACATCTTGCAGGACAGAAAGCTAGATCACTTGGAGAAGCAGCAGCATGTGAAATATCTAAGAGGTCGAGAAAGGTTTCAGGGTCAACAACAAAGACAAGAGCCACCCACTGGGCCCTGCAGGCGCAAGCAAGCCCAGGGCCCTTCTGGTCTGGAGCTAGGGACAGATGTTGAGAGATGGCACTGCACACTTCGTGGGAGTCCTGAGCTCACATCAGGATGCGCCTCTGTTCTCAGTGGTGTAACTGCTATCGGCAAAGAGCAGAGAAGTCTCTGGGTGAGTGGTCTGCGTACAGTTTCTCATCCCCTGGCCTCTTTCTTACCAAGTCTTTCTTGATTCACTCCAGCCCTGCTTGACACTGGCCACCACGCCACCTCTCTGTACCCCAGGCCAGTGTGGAGGTTTTTCCGAGGGGCTCTCACCAGCCAGGTCTGTCCCTGAAGGTTTTGCTCTGGGCTAGTTTTGTTTAAAAACAGCCTGACCCCTCCTCATCCAAGGGCACCAGGCTCTTCAGGGATGGTTTCCTGCTGCCTCCCCTGGCTCAGTTCTCCTCTTCAGGCTCTCTTGCTCCACCTGGGTCTTCGAGGCTTCCCTACACAGGCTATCTATCAAAACAGCCTGCGGGAAACAAGTGGCCACCACCGAAGTAGCTGCTTCCATAGGTGGTAGCAAGGCAGTGCCTCGGCTCGGCTGCAATGGCCATCTGCATGGTGAGGGGCGCAGGGAGGGGCACGGGACACATGTCCAGGGGCTGGAGGGTGGGGTACGGGCTGTGGAGGGACAGGCCTGTGGCCGCTGAGAGCAGGCTCCTGGAACGGTGGGCCTGCAGTGAGTCCCGGTAGGCAAAGCACAGGTCCTGCACGGGGGCCTGGAGCTGGGCCAGGGTGGCCGTCGGCTGGCTGAGTGCAGGGTAGACGGGTGGGTGGAACAGCACTTGGGTGGGGGGTGGCGGCGTGCCTGGCACCATTGCCAAGGCCTGGCTCTTGACCGCAACGGCATCCTTGAGGACACTGTCATATGCACTGAAAGGGAAAGAGTCTGTGAGAGCTGGAGGTGAGAGGTCGCCAGACACCTGTGTGCATCTCTGCCTTCCTTGGTGGACCTCGAGAGATGCATGTGTCCTGGGGCTGGGCCTTGCTCTTCTGTGCAGGTGTCTGAAGCCTCTGTTCCTCACCTGCTAGACCCAGGGCTCAGCTCCCAGCCTGGAACTGCTGCCTGCAGGGACCCCTCAAAACCAGACTAAGCTGTCCCCGTGGCCCTGTCTTGGCAGGTGACACCCCAGAGGCTCACTTGAGTCCATCTGCTTTTGCTCACCACTATAAAAGCAGCTGGCTCAGCAGAGAGCCCTGGGCGCCTGAAGGAGCACAGAGCAGTCTCTCCCTAATACTCATGGCTGGGTCACGCCCCAGCTAGCCAGACACCAGGAGAGCTGCCGCTAGGGTCTGAGTATCTCCTTAGGTAAGGAGGATACAGCATCCTTTTCCCCCATGTGAGATAAAGCTTCTGCTGGGAATGGTGGTGCACATTTGTAATCCCAGCACTTGGGAGGCTGAGACAGGAGGACTGGAGAGAGTTTGAGGCCAGCCTGTGATGCACAGTGAATTCAAGGCCAGCCTTAACTACAAGGAGAGATACTGTCTCTAAGTTAGTAAGTACGTAGGTAAGTAAACGCTGGAGATGGGAGCTTCCCAGAGCCCCAGCTGTCAGGGCAGCCAGAGGCTGGAGGGTGGCTAAATACCAGGGACCCTTCAGCACTCAACAGGCAGTGTTCTCTGCCCTTCAGGGCCTTCTGCAAAAGCATGCGTTTTAAGATGAGCCTCTGAGCAGGACTGACATTCCCCACATGGGGAAGCTAAGTAAGAGACAGCTCTCTGAGGCCCAGGGGCTTCTGCTTTCACCATCCGGGCCCATCAGTCAGTCAGGCAGCATCTGGGACTGGCTGCCGCTTGGTGGGCAGGATGGGGAGTGGCCTGGCGAAGCCTTGAAGAACCTGTCCCATCCCGTCTGCCCTCCTCCCAAAGGGTGCTATGAACCTTTCCGGCCTCCCAGATCTGTTTCAGTGTTTGATCAAAGATGTCTTTAAGCATCTTCTTTGGTACTGGAAGAGCTTCCTTCCCAAGACTCTCAGGGACCCCTGGCAGAAGGCTGTAGCCTCTTAGGTGAAGCCAGTCTAGTTTTAGCTGTCTTGGAGGTCAGCTGTGCAGCTGTGTCTGAGAAAGCAGCTTCTGAGACCCCCTCACTGTGACTACCCACAAGATCACATCAGGACTTAGATCAAAGGGCTTAGACCTTTGAAAAGGTGCACACAACCCCTCCTCTCCCTCATCCTCAGTCTTACAAATGCAAAGCCAAAGTTATGGCAAACAGAAAGGGCCAATTCCCCGAGGCCCACAGGCATACTTTATATGAGAAGCCACCACCCGCTCCAAACACAGGAAATGCCCCTTGAGCTGATGAGGCCCTCAAGGGCAAGTGAAACCTCAATATTTCAGAGGTGCAGGTCAGGAGAGGAACTTACACCAGCAGGATTTCGATGCAGGCACTGAGATGTTCCAGGGAATAGTTCGAGATCCTCTGCAGCTCTGTGGTCCAGCAGGGAGACAGCTGCAGGCAGATCCTGGAGGCCCCGACACAGGCAGCAGCGATCATGGAGGGCTGGAATTTGTAGAATATGTGATCTGAAAGAGAATCCCGGAAGGACTCAGCATCGTGCAGCTTCCCTGTAGTTTCATGTCCACCCTAAGTGGACGAGTGAGAAGGTTCCAGGGGGTCACTGCTGCCCTTAAGAATGGATGAAAAGCCAGGGATTTAGCTCATTGGTTCTGGCGCCTGCCTCGAAAGCACAAGGTCCTGAGTTCGATCCCTAGTACGAAAAAAAAAAAAAAAAAAAAGAATGGATGAAAAATGAGAAAATGTTAAGTTTCATTACTTCATCTTCAGCAGCAGTTCTGATTTCTGCTATGGGGTCAACCAGGGTGATATTTCAAAATACTGTCCACTGCAAAGAGCTGGCTGAGGGGCTACACACAGAACCCTGAACATGGGCTCCTTTCTGTTTGTTATGGGTGAATGACACTGCTGCAAAGGGTGTCTAAAGGGTAAAATTGCAAGGACGTGGCAAGCCCAAGGTCCTGAGAGTTCAATTCTCAGTACCCCCCCACTCAAAAAAAGCAAGGACATCTGGCCCACAGGCGCAGTCAGTAAAATCTGTGGAATGAAAGAGTGGCTGTAAGGGCTGGAGATTTAGCTCAGTGGTTCCGACGCCTGCCTCAGAAGCGCAAGGTCCTGAGTTTGATCCTGGTACCAAAAAAAGAAAAAAAAAAAAAATAGTGGCTGTAAGAGTTCAATATTCACAATGAAACTGGGCACTTTACCTAGGTTAATGAGAAATCGTACATCCTACTAAATAGATGTAACATGGCAAAGGGGACATTATTTTTGTTCAGAGACAAACAGCTGAGGTCACTGGAGTTTTCAGGAATGATACTTGGCTTTCAGTGCATCGGTATGTTGCCGTAAGTTGTTTATGATTTTCAGTTAATTCAACTTTTGCCTTTTTTTTTTTTTTTTGGTACCGGGAATCAACTCAGGTCCTTGTGCTTTCGGGGCAGGCAATGGAACCACTGAGCTAAATCCCCGGCCCTTGCTTTTGTCTTTTAAAGGACCAATTGGCGAGATGGTATTACGGTTACAGTGCAGTCATGGAGCCATATTCCCGGTTCAAATCCTAGCAATGATGTGAGGTAAGTTATTTCACTTCATTTGTTTGTTGTTGGTTTTTTTTTTGGTACCAGGGATCGAACCCGGGTCCTTGTGCTTGCGCAGCATTTGGCGAAACCACTGAGCTAAATCTCCAGCCCCTCATTTGTAACATGGTAATAACTGAAATGGTGTGTGTGTGGGGTCACTGTGAAGTTTAAAGGAGTAGGAAAAGCTCTAGAGTAAGATTCTGAGCATGCAGTAAGAGCTCAATTAATGCTCGGTATCCTAATCACTGGTATTGCCACTTAAGGTCATTTTGGTTTGTGGTCCATTACTGACTGCCAGTATTTCTGACTGGCATTTTACCTAACACCTAGGTTCTTGGTTTTCTTTTGAGACAGAGTCTTGCTGAGTAGTCTAGGTTGGCCTTGAGCTCGCTCACTACATAACTCAGACTGTCTTTGTGATCCTCCATCCAGCCTCAGCCTCCTGAGTGCACCTAAGGCCTAGATTTAAGACACTTTGAAGAGTGGGTTTCAAATGAGAGCCCCTGAACAGGGTCAGTTTCACATGTGAACAAAGCTCTCTCCCCCATGCTATCTGACAGGACACTCTGCATCTGGCCTACCTGCAGGTCCGCGCTACTGAAACCATCTGCAGTGTCCCCGGGCACCATACTGGGTTGCCCGGCGACTGTAAGTCTGGGGTGCTGGCTGCCTCTGTAAAGCTGCTGTTTCTTTCAGGCATCATTAGTAACGCTCTGGGCCACGCCTTGCCCCTTTTCTGCTCAACCCCTGGAAAGCGGAGATGTGGAGCTCTGGGCGTCCTTACCGGAGGCTCTCTCTGGATAGACTTGCCCCTTGGGGTCACCCGACCCCAGCCCCTGCAGTCCTGCTGTGGGAGCCCCCCTCATGCCCGGGGCCCTCACCTTGCAGGGTGACCTCGAGGAAGTAGTGGGCGTACTCCTTGAGGCACTCTTTGGTCTTGCGGGGGCAGACGGTGGGCCAGGCATGGCAGTGGTGGTCCTTCTGGCTGACGGAGGCCAAGAGGTAGTAGTCCAGGAAGTGCGCGGGCGTGGGCAGACAGAGGTTCCAGCCGAAGGCCTCCAGGAGCAGCAGCTCTGTGCTCAGCAGCTCCTTCTTGCCGAGGGAGAAGTTCTGGCTGCTCAGGATCCTCGTGCTGTTTATCTGCTCCAACTTGGGCACATGGTCTTCTCTATCCTCAAACTTACCTATGGTGTAAGGAGAGCACAGCTTACTGGAGATCTTACTGACAGCCAGGATGCTAAAGGCCCACCTTCTAGCACCTGTTTGCAGAGAGGGCAGGAAGAAGCAGAAAGGTGGGACTGCTGGGGAATAAGAACACATTCACGATCTGTCAAGCCTGGGCGTGCATCCCCAAACCATCACTTGGAGCTGTGCGATTATGTCCAGGTGTCTCAACTTCTCTGTGGCTCAGCCTCCTCATCTGTAAAATGGAACCTATGCTTCCAGGCTTTGTGAGATTCAATGAGAGAACGCACATCAAATGCTCAGAGCAATCTGAACACAGAGCAATCAGCAACGCAGCTGGGGGTGGGATGAGTACAAGATGCTCTCCACAGGTCCTGCCCGGCTATCACAGCTCGACCTCCAGGCCAGAGCCAGAATGACCTTGGACATCTGACCTTGTTCCTTCAGATGTGGAAAAGTCCCTCAATGGCTCCCCATGGTCCTCAGTATGGATTTTGAACTCTAAGTGGGGTCTTGTTTTGTGTTGCCTTGGAAACAGTCTTCTTGGAAGGTGAGCCAGGAAAGATAGGCAGGCAGGGGAAGGCAACCGGAAAGGCAAGAGAGCCTCATGGTGCACACTGGCAAGCAACCCTGTGGACAACTGGGGCTTGATCCTACTGAGGGACTCTGAGAAATGGCCAGGCGGTGTCCCCGCCAAGGGTCAGGGACAGAGGCGTCGGCTGTGGACGGCTCACAGGGGATGAGGACTTCTCTTTTGCTGAGGGTCAAGGCCCCTGGCAGTCGGGGGTGACAGCTCCACTGTGTGAGGCAGTGCAGGTGCATGCAGCCTCTCCGGGCTCCAGGCTCCACACTCTGGACACCGCCCCACATCTGCCGCTGGCATTTCTTTGAAAGCACTGTGCTCTCCTTGCCTTGTGTACGCAGCCCCCCCGCCCCAGTAACTTCAACATGTGGTTCCTCTTCCCAGTCACTGCCTCTCAAAAGCCTCTCCTGACCCCCCACAGCCAGTGCTGAGCCCCTCCGTGGCCTGGTCTCAGTCTGGTCACCTGCGGCCACCAAGCCCAGCTTCACAGGGTGCAGAGCAGCTTGCGGGGGGAAAAAGTTGGAAAGGCTGCGGGGTGCCCTGCCCAGCCCTCAAATGGAACAACAAACAAAGTGCTCACACACCTGCTCACACTTCGAGGCCTCTGCCCCAGTTCTCATCGTCCCCGAGGTTCCGGGAGAGATAAGGAAGCGCTGCCTACCGCCTGCACCACAGCAGATACAAAGCCCTCACTGCAATGTGAAGCCGGGTCTGCTCCTGCAGCCTGGCCGCCAGCACCCCTTCCCCAGGCGCAGGACACAGCCACACAGGACCCAGACCCCTCTCCTGGCTGGGAGCGCTCCTCCCTCCTCAAGTCATCTTATGTCTTCCGGAGCTCAGTTCAGAGGCCACTGGATGTCATCTCAGTGCATCTCACATTCAGGTGATGTGCTATCAAAATTCACAGACATGGCCGGCACCTGATCCCAAGCCCTCCAGTTCCTATCCTCATGGGTCTTAAACTGGGGTCCAGGCCATCTGCTGCTCTGCCAGCCCCCAGCACATTATCCTGGCACATAGTAGGTGCCCATTAAATAGTCACTGTATGATCAGTGCTTCCTGGAAGGAGTTTCTGGCCATTTGCCTTTTTTTAAAATTCCCTATATTTCCCTCCAATAATCATGCAGTTTTTCACAACACTCCCAAGTTCCCCTGGCTGTATCCACTCAAAAAATACAAGCTCTCCACTCTGTTTCTCCAGTGCTTGAGATCAAACCCAGGGTTTCATGTACACTAGGCAAGTACTCTACCACTGAGCTACACCTGCAGCCCCATGAGCTCGCTTTTCTTCCTGGTGGAGAGTCACGCAGCATGCCAGGGGAGGCGCTGAGGCCCTTCCCCAGAGTCACTGGCAGCCAGCATTCTCACCTGCCAGCAGACACTCAATCAGATTACTTTCCTCTCCTCTCCTCCCGATTTCCAGACCTTCCAGAGCTCTGCCTCCAGGCCAACAGCAGGGCTGCAGCTCACTGAGGAGTCTCACTCCTACACTGGGGACGCCTCAGGACCCACACTGCAGATGGTCGGAGCCGGGCAGAGCTGGGCCTGCATCCCAGCAGGCTCCTCCAGGGACAGCCAGGCCCGAGAGCTCAGCTCCTACACCTAGAAACGACTTTGAAGCCCTTGCTCTCACTTGCTGGCCAGCCTGACTGCAGCACAACACATTTCACAGCCAGAAAAGACTTTATGAGTTTCCTAGAGTTGCACATGCTCCGCAGGCATTTCCTCCCCTCCTCCCAGGAGTGGGGCTGGCCCTTTGTGCTCCACACTGCCACTACTGAGCGCTGTTCCTCAGCTGCTTCCTCCTTATCAACGAACCTCACATGCAGCAGAAGCATGGAAGTCTTTGGGCAGGTCCCCTGGGAGACACTGGGACAGCTTCCCAGCCACACAATAGCCATGAGCTCCTGTCTACTCCATGCACTTCTTATTTTGAAAATCTTCAAATCCACAGAAAAGATGAAAGAACAATGAGCACACAAGACGCCCCCCCCCCCATTCCCCAATTGTGGACAATGAAACACACTGAGATGTGTGCACGTGTGTTTGTATATAAATGTTCGTTCTTCTGGACCATTTCTTGTTTTATTTTTCTTGGTGGTACTGAGGATTGAACCCAGGGCCTTTGCACTGAGCTACAGCCCCACCCTCTTTTTATTTTGAGAGAGTCTTGCTACATCACTAAATTGCCCAGACTGTGCTTGAACTTGTGACCCTCCTGCCTCAGCCTCCCAGAGCACTGGGATTACAGGTGTGTGCCACCACGCCCCGCAGCTCCATTTCTTGTTAAGCTTTAGAGGTGACATGGCACCCTTTCAGCATTTATTCCTGAGGATAATTTCCTACAATCATCATAGTACTGGCAATTCCAAGCCATCAAAATCTACAGTAATAACACTCTGCTATTCAGTCCATATTTAACTTTCTCCAAGGATCCAGGATCCAAACCAAGTTCTCATATGGAATCTGCTGTCTTGTTTTGTGGTCCTGAGGACCCAGCCCAGGTCCTCACATATGCTAGACAAGTGCTCTACCAGTGAGGTACATCCCCACACATCCCAAGCCTGTAAGATCTCTTTAGCCCCATATCTGGCTTATTCTTTGTGACACTGGCCCTCTGGAAGAACCTGGGGCAGTTGTCTTATAAACTGTCCCCATTTCAGATTGGCTGGATTTTTACCTCGCGATTGGACACAGCTGGAACAGTCTGGGCAAGAAAACACCATGGAAGTGATGTTTGGTTCTTCTTACGGGATCACGTCAAGAGTCGCACAAATGTCACTGTGCCCCAGCAAGGGGGACGCCGAGTGACTACCTGGGCGAGGTGGCGACATTCGATCTATCCTTCTTTTTTTTTTTTGGTACCGGGGATCGAACTCAGGTCCTTGCGCTTGCGCAGCAAGTGGTGAAACCACTGAGCTCAATCCCTGGCCCTCGATCTATCCATTTTAAAGGTAGCAACTTCCCTGTGAGACTAATAACTAGATGACCCCTTCCCGAATAAATTATTACAACGGTGGATGAAAATGACATTTTACAAATTCCATTACTCTACTTTTTTTTTTTTTGCTGTTCACACAGACCCATATCTGCACATTACGAATCTCAACACACTTCTCAGATTCAAAACGACCCCAGATAGATAGGAATAAATATGAGAAAAGGAAAAAATGGAAACAAAGTCTTTGTAAATAGGGAAGGGTGGAGGGGGTGAAGGGAGGGCTGGGGAATGGGGAAAAAATAAGAACCAAGAGACATCATGTACAGGTACAAGATCCCAATGATGAATGTCATTGTATTGTATACCTAAAATGTACAGATAAACTGAATGGATATAAAACAAAAAACAAAAACCCAAACGACCCCTGGACTATGAAGCACTAGAGGTGGCGCTCAGGCCAGGCAGACGCATGTGCAGCCGGGAGCTGGGGGTGAAGTCCGCAGCTGATGCCTTGCGTGTGCCCTGTGCTGCCTGCTGTTGAGGCTGGGGCACAGACAGCAGGCGACACGAGGTCACAGCCAGAGCACTGACCACCTGGAGTCCAGCCAAGTGGCCTCAACTCTTGACCACATACTAGGCTGTGGCGGCAGGATGCTGTTCACCTAGCTCAGCAGGGACATTTGCCCACTGGCTTTGCTTCTTTTTACAGAAAAAAACCAAACCAACTCTGGTGAAAACCACATTTACACTTTTTAATCGTGCAGTTCAGTGGCTTGAAGGACACTGACAAAGATGTACAATCACCACCACCACCTACCTCCAGAACTGTTTGTTTTGTTTGTTTTTCTGAGACAGGATCTCATTATGTAGTCCAGGCTGGCCTCGAACCCACTGTGACCCTCCCCTCCTGCCTCAGCCTCCTGAGTGATGGTATTATGGGTGTGCACCACCACACTCGGCTCAGAACTGTTCATCTGTTGTTTTTTTTCTGCTATGGGGATCGAACTCAGGGCCTTGCGCTTGCCAAGCAGACGCAGAGCCACTGAGCTCAATCTCCAGCTTGTAAACCTGGAACTCTGTACCCACTCAAGTCCCCATCTGTCCCCTTTCCCCTCACCACCCTCCTCTCTGTTTCTGTGACTGTGGCTTCCCTGAAAGGCAGCCTATCTTCTTCCATCTTCGAGGGAGAACAAGGGGATTCCTGACTTCTCTGAATTAGGACCAAGAGAATCAGTATTTTATTTTAATTTTTTGCAGTCCCGAGGATTAAACCCATAAGCACTAAGCTACATTCCCAGCCCTTTTTAGTTTTTAAATTTTGAGACAGGATCTCTCTAAATTGCCTGGACTGGCCTTGAAATTTACAATCCTCCCGCCTCCGCCTCTCAAGTAGCTGGGATTACAGGAGTGCCTCACCTGACCTGCAAGAATCAACAGTTTTAATTGCTCAGAAGAAAAACTATTTTTGAAAATTTAAAATGTACCAACAAAAAGAGAGAAAAAAGAGGATGACAAAAAATGTTACAATGAGCCCTTAAGAATGCATTACCCAGGAGCCGGGGATTTAGCTCAGTGGTGCTACTGCCTACCTCGAAAGTGAAGGGTCCCGAGTTCGATCTCCAGTACCAAAAAAAAAAAAAAAAAAAGAATGCATTACCCAGTTTGAATGATCATCAGTATTTTTACTGGCTTAAAAGAAACTTAAACAAAAAGGTAAAATTTCTTGCTTTTTGAAATTCAAATAACTTTATTTAAATTGAGAAACAATTCTTAAAACTGCATTTACAGTCAAGCACTTTTGTTATAATAAAAATCAGCAGGAGTATTTAAGTAAGGCAGTATTTCTAGGTTAACAACAAGATTTGACTCTGGATCTCATTAAACAAGTGTAGAGAATAGAGGGAGAAATAGGTTAGTTACAGAAAACAGTATCTACATATGTACTCAGGTACAAATTTGGTGACAGAAAAATCTTCAGTACATGTTGGCAAGAAGGTAAAACTGCAATGATTCCGATTTCTGCTGTCCCGGCCGTGTTCTCTGTCCATTGGCCAGGCTGACTCAGGTGCTGTGCCAGGTGGTCCCCCAGCTGTCCCTCATGCCTGGCAGGGTTGCCCGCTGCTCATTCAGGCGCTAAACTGAGGCTCAGAGAGGAGCCCGAAGTTTCCTGGCTAAAGAGGGCCAGGTTTGAAAGCAACAGCTAGCTACTTTCTTCCCTAAAGAAATGCAGTGCTTTTAAAAACAGGCAAAGATACTTTCCCCAAGAATGGCCTGTCTCTCCCGGTCTCTGTCTCTCTCTCTGTGTTACCCAGGCTGGCCTCAAAAGTGTGATCCTCCTGCCTCAGCCTCCTAAGTGGTCTAATTACAGGTGTCCACCACTGTGTCAGGCTCACCAGTCTCCTTTTAAAACACTTTTTCCTCCTCCTCTTCATCTGAAAATGAGGACCAAAGTTGATTAGGAATTGGGACCCCTTGGCTACCTGCGTGCCTGCAGCAGCACCTGCCCTACCCTGCGTGGTGCTAATGCCAATGGGCAACAGAGGTGCAGGAACACAGGAGGAACAAGGCAGCACCAGTTGAACTGGCTTCCTGGCATCATCTCAGCCCTTGGTACAGAGGTAGTGGCTGTGTGTGTGTGTGTGTGTGTGTGTGTGTGTGTGTACACTGGGGAGGGTCAGGCCCAATAGAAACCTCTCTGATACTTCTGATACTTTCTTTTTTTTTTTTTATTTGGTACCGGGGATTGAACTCGGGTCCTTCCGCTTGCAAGGCAGGCGGCGAAACCACTGAGCTAGATCCCTGGCCCGAAACCTCTCTGATACTAATTCCATTTTCCTTGGATCCCTCCTTTGGGGTCACTAGCAGGGACAGACCCCTGGCCAGCTTTATGAGGAGCCAGTGACCAGAGAGAGCCAGGATTCTGGAGGAGGGCCCCTGCCAGGGCCTCAAGTCTGGGCTCCAAGGACAGCTTCCATCTTTGCCCGGTGACCATCAGTGTGGTCTTGGGCAGTCACTTGGAAATCCATGGAGGTGTCAGGCACAGGGCCCGGCGTACTGGAAGTGCTCCTCCTCCCCGAGTGGCAGCAGTGGCTGCTGTACTATTTACTGAACAAAGTGTTTACTCTGCTTCCCACACCTGGCACCTTCCACAGTCCTGTTCATTGGCCCCTAGCCCCTCTTTTTTAAAATCAATGACTAGGACCAGGGATTTAGCTCAGTGGTGCCACCGCCTGCCTCGAAGGCGCAAGGTCCAGAGTTTGAACCCCCGTACCAAAAAAAAAAAAAAAAAAATCAATCAATGAATAATCAGTTCTGAAGCCCAGAGCTTTTTATACCACAAACATGGAAACACACACAGTCCCAAGGCAACCCATATCCATTTCTGTGGATGCACGGATTCCCATGGATGCGAGTGTCAGGCCAGCTGCAGCCCCTCCTCTAACCATGCACTTCTCCAAAAATAATCTGTCTTCAGTCTCCCCTCTGCTTATACAAACCAGGGATTTGTTACGGTTTGGGTCTAGATCTCCCCCAGAGCCTCATGCAATCATAGGTGGGGCTTTTCCAGAGGTGGCTGAATCTAGAGCGTGTGATGCTGGGATTAAGGGCATGTGGTTACTAAACCAGTCCACTGATTGGTTTGGCAGTGCCCTAGTCCCAGTAGTCTAGATAAGATGAAGGCGTGGAAAGACGCTGTTCAGGTTCACTTGTTGCTTTTGCTACCGTGTGGGTGTCATGAACTGTTTCTCCTCTGTGCCACCCCTCTGCCATGTGCCACTCTGTCTTGGAGCCACCCAATTATGGAAACTGTGAGCTAAATAAACCCTTTCCCCTTTAACTTTGGGTGTTGGGTATTTTGTCTCAGCAATGAGAGAAAAGTAATTAAGACACAATTTAATTCCAGATCCTTTGTACTAAAGATCTAGGCGTGAAGGGGGACTTGGGAACCTGCCTTAGGAGACAAAGGAAAAGCTCCCTTCGCCTCTCTTTCCTGTCTTGTTTGTAGCTAAATTTCCAGTCTCTGGCCTACAGCAAGCCTGGATAGATCACGCACGAATGCACGGATGGATGGATGGATGGAAGGATAAAAGCAAGTACATTCCGACAGGTAGAATCAATCCCCAAGACCCATTTTGGAAACATTGTTCAAGGTGAGGTTGTGGGTGGCTGTTTTCTTCAGGAGGAAGCTGTGGAAACGCGCCAGGGCCAGAGGTGGCATTTAGCTAGCTGGGTCACACTTGGGCGTCCTTTCTCGATGTGAGGACTTCCCTGTCTGAGGATGAAAGAACTGGTGTGATGATTTCACTCAGCAGCCTCAGTCAAGCCCTGCCTCTTTTATGCTCTGCTCTGTAGGAGACCTGAACTGGGGCTGTGGGACAGGAGCCGTGTGTCACATGCATGGCTGGCACTGGGGCCAGGGTGGGAGCAAACGCTTCCTGTGGTGGAGTGGAGCCTTCTCCTGCCCTGAGTCTTGGTCACGCTGTGCAGAATGCTCACAGCTGTCCACCATGGTGGCTCTGGACCAGGGCTGCAGCTGCTGAAAGAGCAGATAGGTGTGGACACCAGGGACCTCGGATCCTCTGCTCTGAGGGCTGATGTTCCGACACAGAGTGCACAAGCAGAAGACCCAGGAGTCTCCCTGGAGTGGCCAGGGAAGAGGGGACCCGGTTGAAACACAAAGGCCACTGATGCACAGGGACCAAAGCCACTGATGCGTCCTCAAGCTGATTCTGTGTCCCCGGCCTGTCTACACCCTTCCGGCTGAGTACTTTAGGTAAGTTTTAGGGACTCCTTTGAGAGTTAAATGAATGAATATGTGTAAAAAAGAAAAGTCAAAATGCTGCCTGGCATATTAACACCTAATAAACATTAGCTGCTCCATTTTATTTATTTATTTATTTGGTACCGGAGATCGAACTCAGACCCTTGCGCTTGCAAGGCAGGTGGCGAAACCACTGAGCTAAATCCCTGGCCCAGCTGTTCCATTTTATTACAGAGGCTAAGATTTATCTCCAAATTCTGATTATAGACGGAAAATATAGTAAAGTTAGAAGTATTTTTACTTTATTCTTTGTATTTTTTCTATCTTTTAATTTTCCAAAAGGAACAAATATCACTTTCCCACTGAGGAAATGAAAACTATTCAGAAGGCAAAATACTACTGATGGGAAGCAAAAGCCAGAATTGGCAGAGAAGGACCCAGAATGAGGATCTGCTCCGGGCCAAGAATATCTCTGCATGAGTCTACTTTTACAACAGCCCCCGAGTCAGGAGGTGTCAGAGTTTCCTACCCAGAAACCCCACTGAGCTGGTGACAAAGATGACTTTTCCTGTCTAGACACTGAAATATTTGTCATTAAAATTAAGAAGTAGGAGATGGGAGAGCCAACACATACATACTCCTTGAAGACAGTGTTGAAAATTTGGGTGAACTGACCAAACACAAAAATAATCTGTAACCTCACCACCAGGTATGCAACAGCTGGTGTATTTCTTTTGAATGTGAAACCGGGAGGTGACAGGTGTAGGTGAAGGGCAGGTCCCGGGCACCAGGGGTCACTGCCCAGTGTTAGTGAGAGCTCCACCCCTCGAACCTGAGCATCCCAGAAAAGGCAAGCAAGAGATCCAACCAAGAAACGGGCTGGGGAGTTTGCTAGGGGGCAAAGTCCACTGAATAGGACTCCAGGGCTCTTCCTTCAGGAATTTAGCCTTAATGGGGAGAATGGGGGCCAGAGGTATAGCTCAGGGGCAGAGTGTGTACCGAGCATGTGCAAAGGCCCAGGTTGTATCCCCAGTGCCCAAAACAATAAAAGCTTCAAAATAAGAGAATGGGCATAATACAATCCTGGCCCTAGCAAGGTATATAATGTGCTATAAAACATAGAGTCACCATAGGTGGGTTCTCTGTTAATGTAAATAAAAAGAACATTAAAACAATTAGCTGACTCCCAGCAGCCAGACCTCAGATAGCATGAAGAGTAGAAGGGGTGCTGATGTCAGTTGTCAGTGTCCCGGTACTGCTGTACTGTCAGCAGGCTGTTCTCCTAACGGCAAGGACACTCAGATGTTTTTAGAAAGGTGACCGGCTCGTTTGTGGCACTTGCCCAGGTATCATCAGGTAAAGCAGGTTTAAAACTGTGTTCTGCAGATGTTTCCAGATCATATGCAACTCCTCTACTGTCCATGCAACACCTAACAGGCCCAGCGCATAGTACATGCACAGGCATGTATCACACATGATACATATGCACAGTGCACGCACACATATAGACCATGTGTAGAAGAATTCCACGGACAGGAGTTGTGCATTCAATTCACCATGTCCCCCTGGGGCAGACAGTATCTCCAACACAGCAGAGTTCAAATCAAATTTTTTTTTAATGATTTGCTTGTGTGGGGTTAAGGGTTCCTGAACACTATGTTCATTTAAATCCTCCACTCCTCCCCAGAAAAACCTCACACTCAGGGCCGGGGATTTAGCTCAGTGGTTCCACCGCCTGCCTCACAAGCACAAGGTCCCGAGTTCGATCCCTGGTACCAACCCCCCCCCCAAAACAAAACAAAAAAACCCTCCTCACACTCAGAGCTCAGAACTCCACGTCCTGGACAAACAGGTCTGGGCGCTAGACCTGCTAAGGCAAATTGTACAATTTAAGAGTTTCTGGTAGAGTCTGACAGGCAGTTCACACACAATCCCTCCCCTGAAATAGCTCTAAGCTTGCCAGTCTGCAGAGATGAGAACAGGAAATGGAAAATCACCATGTCCTCTGGCTCCCTGTGCTACAACACTCGTGCTCGAGCCTGGACTGATTCAGTGTGGCACTCATTACATGGATCATCCTTTCCAGTGTGGCCACCACCCAGACGCCACTGATGAGAAAACACAGCAGCCTTGGTGGGGTGGGGTGGGGTGGGGTGGGGGGTGGTTGTCACGTGAAGTGTACACATCAGATGTAAGATCCATCCTGATTTCTGAAATGTTAAGCCATTCACAAATGTTCTCCATAGCAGGGAGGAAACAGAAGTGTTCCTCCTAGCCATCCTTGTGTGAACCACAAGGTTCACTCAGTTATCTCCTGCATGGGGACTGCCATGTTCTCTGGCAAGTTTGTGTTTAATTCTGGCAGGAAATCTTGTTTTGTCCTGGAAAAATCTCCCCCCTTTCCTCTGCTTCCCACCATTAGAACCCTGGAGGTATCTCAAGCATTTCAGCTTTGGGGGCCGGCTGTGCTTAACTTCCCCCAGCAGGAAGCAGCGCATTAGTTCATCCCTGTCTACCAAGAGGGATTAAGACTGCTTTCAAGTTTCCGGAAATCTTCAGCAAAATCGCCAGCGGGGGTCAACCCATCCTGCCCCCAGCTTTGCTGTCAAAGAAGTAATTCTGCAGAAGCAGCAGTTGCAGAGAAATCAAAGCAGGGGCAGGGTGCACGCAGGAGGGCTGGAGGGAGGGCTGAGTGGGGAGGCGCTCTCCGAGCCAGGAGAAGGAAGGTGGCTCCCTGGGAGGAGGCAGCCCTCTCCTAGAATCTCCTGAGGCCCATGGGGACACCTGGAAGGCAACAGCTTTTATTTGTATTTGCCCTAAGAGATGAAGTTATTGATTTCTGCCTTAAGAAGCCCTAAAAGCAATTGGTCTGCAACTATTCCTGGTCTGTGCATGTGGACAGCACACTGGCCACAGGGAACAGAGGGTAAGCTGAGGTGGACCCTGGTGAGGGCGAGGACAGAAGAGGCATTGCTCATTTGGGCAGTTCATTGCTCAGGTGGAGAGGACTGATTCCAAAGGCTCCCCCAAGTTCGGTTCAATTAAGAACAAAGCAATGTGGTCAGCTCCCACCTGAGTTAAAACCTCTGCAAAGCAATTAAGCACTACCACCCAAATCCTGAAGGCACACACTCCTTGAAGAAAACAATTCCACCTCTGGGAGTGCAGCTCAGAGGCAGAGTCACATACGTGTGGAAAGACACAGGGAGAAAGACAGCTGCTGTCACACTGTGCACAGGAGGGAGAACAATGGAGGGTGACACAGAGGGGAATCGTGAAATAAAGGGTGGTGTTTACAAAATGAAGATCTACACCCAAAAAAAGGAGTAAGGTTAAGTGCACATGAGCTGATGGGGAAGATGCTCCTCAATGCACTGGGAAGAAAGCACCTTCTGTATCTCTCACTTTTTTGGGGGTGGGTACCGGGGATCGAACTTGGGATCTTGTGCTTGCGAGGCAGGTGACAGAACCACTGAGCTAAATCCCCAGCCCTGTACTGATGATTTTGTTAGTCATGGTGGTCATAAAGTCAGCTTGATTAGTGAATTAGTGAAGAATGAATTACTGCTTTTAGGGGAAGGAAAGGGACTAGGATCCTGTAGCCGCTGATGGTAACATTCCATCAATCCAGCAATCATAACTTGTTTTGGTATTTCTGTTCAATGTACCATATCATGGTTTTGTTAACAGTGAACTCACAGTCAAAAGCACTACAAGCTAGGCCCAAGCAAAGCTTATCTAAACACACACATATATTCCCTGCAAGAACATCTCAGCCTGCTTGAGCTTAGTGCTAATGCTGGACAGCCCTTCAGCATATGCCCTAGGGCTGTCGCACACAGTAAAACACCAGCAAAAGGTACAAAAATGAGGTAAAGGGCCGAGGATTTAGATCAGTGGTTCCACCGCCTGCCTCGGAAGCACAAGAACCTGAGTTCGATCCCCGATACCAAAAACAAAGAAACAAACAAAAATGAGGAAAACACAACACTAAAAAGAACACACACACACACACACACACACCTGTTTACAGTACAGGACTAAAGCAAGAAGGCAGAGCACCTCAGCCCTGTTCCATCTGAGCTGAGCATACGCACCCATGGCAACACAAACTTGTCGCTGTTCTGTACTTGTCTGAGAAGGACTGAAAAATACCATCATCGACTTGGAGTTTAAAAGAATTTTGCAAAGTGCTGGGGGTGTAGCTCAGTGGTAGAGCACTTGCCTAGCATGCATAAGGGCCTGGGTTCTTCTACTAGTGCCATACAAGAGGAAAAAAATGAGCAAATAGCTAAGTTCGTGAGTACAGAATCTATGAATAAGGATAATAAGGACTGACTGTGTGTTTGCATATGCATAGAACATTTTTAGAAGAATCCAGTAGACCAATTCTGGAAGACACAGAAACTGTTTCCAGAGGTGATCTCTGTCAAAGTGGGATGGGAAACATTTTATTTTCTTTTTCTGGTCTTGTCCAGGGAGTACACCATCCAAGAAACCTACAGTGGGAAGCTGGGCCTCTACAGGTGAGCTATGCACACCATTAGAGACCCGCTCGGGGCTGTAGGAGCACTGTGCCCAAAGTGGGGGCCTCCCGGGCAGAGAGGAAGGCCAGCACAGGACTTAGCCTCACCTCCAAAAACTGGAAGTTGCAACTTCACCCCCAGAAGCAGATGAATCTGCCACCACCACTTCCCACCACCGCTTTGCAGACTGAAAGCCTCAGGTTCCGAGGAAAACAACTGGGTGGGGAGAAGCCCTGTTTTCCCAGGGAGCTAGTAGGGGCCGGAAATGACGGGGAGAGAAGGCACAAGTTAGCCTCGAGATGGGACAGGCACCAGATGGGGAAGGAAAAACAATGGAAAGGGGGAGGAGGGAGGGAAGCTGGTGATTTTGTTTACTGGGCAGTTCACAAGTGTGTACTCCTCCTCATAGTGAAAAATAGCTTTCTCAGTTATAAAAACACCCAAGAACATCTGTGCCTCAAGGATACACACCAAACTGTGGGGAGCGGTCTGTGAACACAGGAGAAGTGATTTTTACACTTAGTACTTCTATAGCTTTTGGATTTTGGGGGGGGGGGTACCAGGGATCAAACGTGGGTCCTTGTGCTTCCGAGGAAGGTGGTAGAACCACTGAGCTAAATCCCCAGCCCACCTTTGGATTTTTTTTTAACAACAAAAACACATCTCACACTTCTTTTTCTGTTTTGTTTTGTTTTTTGAGACAGTCTCGCTTTGTAGTTTAGGCTGGCCTTGAACTCTCGGCAATCCTCCTAACTCAGCCTCCCGAGTGCTGGGATTACAGGAGCATGCCACCATGCCTGGCCCATATCTCATACCTCCTGCACCATGATAAGGCCTCATACTTAAGGCACGGGACCCTAGCAAAGGCTACTGTTGCCTTTCTCTGCCACTCTCCCTCCTTCCTAGGCTCGTCCCTACCCTGGAGCTAAGGACTCAACAGTCCAGTCACCTCTGAGCAGCAACTGCTAGGCCAAAGCCTAGCAAAACTCCAAGGCCTCTCAAAAAGTTCAACACAGAGTTAACATAAGAGCCGCAAGTCACCCCTTAGGTGCATACCTGAAAATACAGAAAATAAATGTTCAGATAAAACTGGCACCTGAATGTTCATAGCAGCACTATTCACAAAGACCCAAACATCCATCTACAAACGACTGCATGACTGGACTGTGGCATACACCGGGGAGTATGAGCCAGCCTCACAAAGGAATGAAATGTGACACATGCTGCCACGTGACCTTGACAACACTACAGGAAGCCAAGCAAGCCAGGCACAAAGGGTCCTGGATCCTATGATCCCTTTTCTGTGACAGAGCCAGGACAGGCACATCCAAACAGACAGAAAGCAGGTTAGTGGTCGCCAAGGCTAAGGGGCGGAAAGGAATGGAAGGCGACTGCTGAACTGGTCCAAAGGTTCCTTTCAGGGTGATGAAAATGTTCTGGAACTAACCAAATGCCACTTAACTGAACGCTTGAAAATGGTAAATTTTTACTGTAGTACAAGTTATACCTCAATTTTAAAAAAGAAAAAGAAAAGCACCAAGCAGTGTGACCCTGGGCAAGTTAGCCAGCCTTTTTTTTCTTTTGCAGAACCGGGGATCGAACTCAGGACCTTGCGCTTGCCAGATAGGTACACTGCCACTGAGCTACATCCCCAGCCCCCATTAGCTGGCCTTTTTGAAACTAAGAAGTGGGCATCTGAGAGCAGGACCACACAGGCTGGGGGTGAGGGTCCCAAGTGAAGCGTGTACAGCACTGGGCACAGGGACAGGTGCAGTGTGGAGCCAGCACACCATGAAGCTCCGGCCACTGTGTGGACAGTGTCAGGGTTCACTGTCAAGGCCAACTCACCTGGAATTCCTGGGGTCTCCATTCTGTCAAATCATCCTATTAATTAACAAGAACCAGTAAAGAACAACTGTGGGGTGATGTATGAAAGACTAAAGAAGAGAGTGACTTTCCTGTACTTCCAGTGCACCTGCATCTATCCTACAGGTTGCCATTCTGCCCTATGCTAAGGCAGGAGATGCGATTCGCTCAGTCACAGACAAAGGGGTGGCTTTGTCTCGTGTCCTGTGGAATGAACTAAGCACTCTGGCTTCTGGACTTCCTTCCACAGACACGGCCCTTGCCTGCTTCCTGTATTATCAAAGCGGGAGGGATGGTAGGCAGGTAAGAAGGTCCCATCTCTGCAAAAGCCCTTATCTGGAAGCAGCTTGAGAAACCTGGGCACCACAGGTGGGGAAGAATCCTAGCTCTTATCCCCCAATACTTTGGGACCAAATTAGCAGAATTCCAAATGTCCCGAGGCAAGGTGACCCCCCTTATGGCTGGCTGACTATCAGCCAGAGATGAGGGAGGGAGAAATGAATAGGATTTCAGGCTGTCATGGAAACTTTTCTTTCCTCAGGCCTCTGGAGCATATGGCAGGTGTCCTGAAAATCCCGTTCGTGCCGCCTGGAGGCTGGCTGCAGCCCGCAGACGCATGGGTCGGGGCGTCTGCTTCTCGTCTGAAGCCCCTGCCCTCTGGCATGGCGACAGCAGAACAAAGGAGTCTCCAGTGTGTGCTGCATGTCCTGGGTCCCCAGACAGACGCTGGGGGAGAGCCGCCATGGCCCCTGCCCCTGCAGCCTCGATGCAGCCCACAGATCACAGACAGCGGCAGGCCAAAGGCCACACTCTGAAGTGCCCTCTGAAGATTTCCCCTGTGCTCTGAAGTGCCCTCACTGATGTCTTGCAAGCCCTGCATGTCTGCCCAAGGTAAAAGGGGGTATGTGTTGATTTGAGGCTTCAAGTAGCACACAGGCTGCATTCCCAATGAGCTTGAGTCCCATGCAAAACCCAGGAAATACAGCTGGCCCGAGGTGGAAAAGTCACAGACAGCGGGAGAGTAAACCATAGCAGTTAAAGAGACTGTAACCAACAGCAGGTAGAAGGTTCCAAGTGGAAAACAAGAAGACTTGGACAACTCTAAAGCTGTGCTTCTCCAGCTGGGTGCGGCACTGGTGGGAATTTATGGTGAGGAACACAGAGTCACAGCAGCAAATGGGTGCCATCAGCTGGGAAATGCAATACAACAGGACCATAACAGGCCGTGGGGGAGACTGAAAGATCTGATGGAAATCTAAAGATAAAATAGTAGCTGCCAAAGGAATGTCCTAATTGCAGCTGGCTACTTTGAGCCCAGGGTCTTTGGAGCCTTCTTCTACTCCTCATTAAGGGCAATCTAGAGAGGTGCAGAAGCCAGGTTCTAAAGGAACCCTTAGCTCCAGTCAGTGTGCTGATTGCACAACTGCTCTTAAAGAGTTCCTACCATGTGCCAAGCTCCTTTCTCTCTCTGCAACTCACGGGCTACCACTGGGAGCAGCTGGTGTTCATTCAAAGCATGATGCCATAGGTCTACACGTGAGAGTCCTGACCTGTCGGGAGTAGCGCGGGAAGGTTTCCAGAGTGCAGCCCCATGGCGACATTTCACCAGGTTCAGGGGCCAAAGGGAACAAGAAGCCATCCAGGCAGAGAGAATGGCTCACACAAAGCTCTGCGTGGCCAGTGGGGCCGGAACCCCGAGGGTGAAGAAGAAAAAGGCACAGGGTCAGAGAGGTTGGTCTTTACCGAGGTCCTTAGTAAGCCTCGGGAGATTTTAAATGGCAGGGTGGCGCGGCAGAGCTGTGTCCTAGGGACAGTGTTTCAGACAGGAGCACACTAAACAGTAATCCTCCCCAAGCCAGACAGATGGTCACAGCCAGGCTGTGCTTTTAGCAAGGCCTCTTTGTGAGGGGCAAACCCCAAGAGGGCTGTGCTTAGGGCTCGTGACTACATAATGGATCTTGCTTAGGGCCAAATGAAGCAGTCACATTTCTGAACACATCTCAGAACACTGGTTGCCAGGGCTCCCTCCCAAGACACCAAGAAGCAGGAGACAAGAGGTTAAGAGCACCGGCCTGGCATCAGGCATTTCTGGTCTCAAATCTTGTCTGCCATATATTAGCTGGGCAACCCAAAGCAACTAACTCCCTTCTTTCCTTCCTTCTATCTTCCCTCCCTTTTCTCTCTCTCCGCCTTCCCTTTCTTTCTTTTTTTCCTTGCACTGGGAATTGGACCCAGGCCTCTGCCCTGGGATACACACTTAAGCTTTTATTTTGAGACAGGGTCTGACTAAGCCACCCAGGCTAGGCTTGAACCTGCAATTCTCCTGCTCAGCCTCCCAGAGTGCTGGGATTATGGGTCTGCACCACCATGCTTGGCTCAAAGCAAATTCTCCTAAATTCTCACAGCCTTGATAAGATGGGGTACTGAAAGTATCTCTCTCCTAGGGATTTATTAAGATCAAGTTGCTAAAACCCTTACCACTCAGTCTGATGCATTACAGATGCTAAAGATGCTGGCAATTATTAATACAGTTCACACCGAGCAAAGGATGAACACAGATGTGCAAAGCCCTCTGAAATGCTCCGCGCTGTGTTGGCAGCACACCTGCTGAGGGGCAGAGATGGCACCGATGCAGAGGAAGAGGTGGGTTTGCACTTACTGGCGAGCAGGAGGCAGGAGACCGCCGCAGTGTACAGCTGCTTGGAGGTGGTGATGTTATAACGGTCCATGAAGTGGTCCAGCAGATAGATGGCCAGGTGCCGGGCCGCAGGGCACAGCTGGCAGTGGCTGCTCAGCAGAGTCAGGACGTCCACGAAGAACCGGCGGCTCTTCAGGAGTGGGGAGTGGGCTCGGAAGGCAGGCAGCTTCAGTTCCTGGGGAACAGGCGGGGCAGAAGGGGGTCAGGGCTGCCTCCTGGGAGCCTCAGATGCCCAGAACATTGAGACCTCAGGGCCTGCCTGCGGACCAGTGGGGGATGGAGGGGTTGGCTCCATACCCTTCTTCTGCTTCAGGTCTCAGGAGGGCAGTCCCTCTACTCCTGAAACTCCTGGGCTGTCTCCCATCCTCCCTCCCTAAGCACAGGCTCAGTGAGTGGCCAGAAGGACCAGGAAGCCAGTTATTCCCTGCAGAAGGGCTTGTTATGTGAGATACACAGACCACACAAGAATGAAAGCCTGGAGGCCTGAAACCCCCATCTGAACTCTTGTTCCCCTACTCGGCCAGGTCCTGAGACCTGGTCACCTGCTTTCCTCTTGTTTCCTCCTCCATAGCTCAAGATCAAATGAAAAATATATGCAGAATGTCTAGCATATGGCGGAGCGTGGTGACACATGCATGTAATCCCAGCTATTCAGCATGCCGACGCAGGGGGGATAGTAAATTTGAGCTCAGGTGGGGAATTTAGTAAGACCCTGTCTCAAAATAAAAAGTTAGAAGGGCTACAGAGGCAGGTGTGATGGTGTACCTGTAGTCCCAACACTTGAGAGGCAGAGGCAGGAGGACTGCTGTGAGTTTGAGGCCAGCCTGGGCTACACAGTGAGTTAAAGGCCAGCATGATCTACATGGTGAGATCCTGTCTCAAAAAAGGGGGTGGGTCAGGGCCGGGGATTTTGGTTCCAGCGTCTGCCTCGCAAGCACAAGG